GGTAATTACATCTCTTTAAGGGATAAGGGAAAAGGCTGAAGGGCTTCCACTGTCTTCTGTAGGCTCAGTTTCCTTCATTTTCCATAGTGTAGAATGGTTGCCTTGCAATCTGGGGTTTACCACAGCATCCTCAGCAGGGGAGGTGGCAAAGGCAGAGCAGAAGAAATTTAGAGAACTATTCTTCAGAGTAAAAAATTATTCATGAGTTTGAGTTTCAGTTCACAACTCATTGGGTAACTGGAAATAGTAAGACTCCTACCATAAATGTTAAGCAAAGAAAAACGGCCGTCTAAATTTTAAAATATTTTTCCAATGTGTTCTCTTTCTTGAGAAATGTACCAGTTCTTTAGAAAAGTACATTCAGGATAGAATTAAGTAATTACAGTAGACATTGTGAATTATGTTGTCTTAGACATCAAGAAAGTATTCTGGTCAGATCCAGGTCAGTGTGCCATGTTTTTCTGACAAAGTTAGCACAGGCAAGTAGATGTCTCATTTCTGAAGCTGTCTCATCACTTTTGAAAAGTGTGAAATAATGTGAGTGTGAAGAGCAGAAATGGCACAAGGAAGTGATGGTACAGATTCTGCTCTGCATGTGTCTTCTCTCATTTTTCCCCAATAACCAGCTTTCCCTTCCACTTGCAATTACAGGCTGACATGGAGAGCTGCATTGGAATGGTGTAATTCTCTCATGTTAGAAAGAAAAAGCCCATTTTCGGTTTCTTTGATGGTGACAGTGGCTTTTGAACTGGGTCAACGAACTTTGCCACTACCACAAGTGCTAGAACATCTGCTCCTTGCTTGCTCTCAGAAAACCTTGAGAAACATCCCCAGCTTGGCCTATGGGTTTGTTTAAAACGTTAATCCAACTCTCGGTTACTAAGTGTTTAATTATGAGAATTGTGAAATACAACGCCACCTAAGGCATTAATAGAAGGAACTAATTATAGCCCACTCAGCATGTGGTTTATCCTTCACTTATAAAATCTCTTGTCATTTGTTTGTCCTTTATATGACTTCCTGTAATACCTTAATCAGGATAAATGGATCCTTCAGAAGGGAGAAAATGACCCCACACTGGCACAGAAAGATTTGATTAAAACTTATACTCCTCCTGTGGCAGCCTAAACATCCCAGGGGATCTGCCATTGCTCAGCAGAGTAGATGAAACAGCAGACAAGGGAAATGCTTTCTGTCTGAGACAAAGGGTTTTATTGCTAATGGGCTGACATCCACTCTCTGTAGGACCGTACTATGATCAGTCTCTCGTTTCCTTTAAAATCAGTGTCGCAAGTTTGGTTCCAGCGTGATTAATTTTCCCTTTACGGATTGTCTGTCATCTACTTTTAAGTGAGATTTTTTTATAAATGAGGCAAAGCAAAGACAGAGGTGAAGCCTGTGCAGAGATAAACATTTGTGCTGCTGAGACTCCCACTGACTTGGGCGCAGCAGGGGCCAGGAGTAATGGGGGCTCACAGGTGCGTGATTAGACCTCTCACTGCGACCAGGTGATTGAAACACCACAGCCCATCGCCAGCATTTACAAAACACCACCCCACGAAGGTACTTCGTTTAAAGCAGACCCGGCACAAACCAGGGGCTTCACACGTTCCCTCAGCAAAGCAGCAGCTGAGGCCATCAACAGCCTTTCGTTGTGTCTGCACAGAGAGCGCTCCTCTGACACGGGCCCTGGCCCCGGGCCACGGCTGCTTCTGCGCCCTCCTGTGGGCAGCACTGCTGGGCCTGCCCGGCGTTGGGGGACCACACCAGGCACAAGCAGAGGGGCCTTGGGAAGAAAAGTGGCACATTGCCTTGAGTAAAGCTCCTGTCCTTCAGCCCAGGTGTCCTGTGAGGCTCTGGAAGAGAAAGGGCACATGTCAGGCAGGGACCTTGCATCAACCGCCATGCAAACATTCGAAAGCTCCCTCCCTGACTGAGAATTTGATGGTTCAGGTCATTGTCACCCTCAGTGGAGCCGTTTGCTGACCACCATCCTGCAACAGAATCTTTAAAAGTGTGATTGATGCAAATGTGTGATGTAGCTGAGAAGTGCTCTGAGTTGTGCCTCATTTTCAGTACTTACAGTCATTGTGTCTCATGAAAGCCTCTAAATAAACTTTTTTGATTGTAGTAATTTAGTTGTGGAAGTAGACCTCTTCTGCCTGGGCCACCCTTCTGCCAAATGCCACTAAAATATTACTGGTGTCTCAAGCAGCTGTTCTAGTTTTTAAGACAATGGGAGATGAAAGAATTAATTTAGGTTTCCTTCACTCCCATTTAAGAAGAAATGCTACTTCAAATCTTATGCACAGAAAGAAGTAGTTGTCATATGGAGCTGAGACACAGACCTAAACCACTTGATTTACTGGTTCTTCTGTTGAGTTTTGTTGTTGTCCAAACATATCCAGCTGATGCACAACAGAGGACCTGTCCATATTTTGGTACAAGAGATCATAATAGCTTTCAGCAGTTTGAGCAGTTATTTAGGTGTTTGTAGCATGCTTTGTCCTTCCTATTAAAAGGCCAATAATGACATTTCAAATATTAGAACAATCATTCAAGTAAACTGAACACCTCACTATGCACCTACATGATATATACAGCTACCATAGTTAGACAAAAAGATCAACGAACAATGTGATCATTAACAGGAGTTCAAGTGTAATGTCACTGAATTTGTGACTGCAAATGCAGAGTGAGAAAAAGGAGAAATATTTTTTGCCCAGGTAATTGCATAAATGACAGGACTTGACAGGAATTATTAATATAATGATATTTTGATGATTACAGCACCAAAAAGGTCCATTCTGCAAGTGTCTTTTTGATTATGGGAGCTGACTTAGACCTTCTGTGCATCAGTTCCTTATCTGTAAAATGAAGGGTTTAATTATTTGTTACTTATTATTTGTCGCCGTTTGTTCCAAGAATGTATATGCTAAAGATTTTCTACTGTCTTGATATGACCACAGCAGAGTGTATATTCCTCAGGTCTGGTCAAAAAGAATGGGGTAAAAAGCTGCTGCAAATGTCAACACTGTTGGTGAAAGGCAGGAGATAGAGGGAGCACAACTGATAAGTTTGCTGCAAGCTCTGTGTGTGACTGTGGTCAACCAAGGAGCTCTTTCAGCCTAACTTTCTGCTCATTAAAGTGTAAACACTACATCTTTACCTCACAGTGGTGCAGGGAAGCTGCATTAGCTTGGTGTGTTAAGTCTTCTAAATCCTTGAAATCACTGAAATAACGAATGTTGCTACCTGTATGGGCCCATTGGATGCAAATGTAAGAACCTCCAGTTAATGCTCTTATTTGATATACTATAGATTCTCATTAAAAGAGAAGCTTTTATGCTTCATGCAAGAGAGATTACTTTTTCTGGAATTAGCAGCTGTGGGTCTGATTATATCTAACATTTTGGTGTTTGCAAGCATGGTGTGCTATAGACTCAACACAAGTTTACATGAACAATAAACACAATATTTTCATTATTATTTTTAATATTGCATAATTTTAGGAGTAGCAAAACACAGCACAATTCTAATCTTACCAGCAGGATTATAGTTTGCAATAAAAAAGTCATACTGGTTATTAGCAGTACTGTTAAATCACCAGCCTGACTTGAAGTCTTCCATCTGGAATTGTAAGTTAAGGAGAGTTATCAGAGTAGTGATTTATTGTGTAAACAGATCTTGTTGCTGGCTTTTAGGAAAACCTAACTTCAAAATATTTTTATCACACTTGACTGAAGTCTCCAACTCTGAATTATTAGTTAATAACACTTGAGCAAAAGCATAATTTAAGTAAACTTTGAAACAAAATGGGGCCTTAGATACCAGATTTAGTGCTTGCCTTAGGTAAAGCATTTTTCTTTTAGCACAGAACTGTAATAGAACAGAAGTAAGATTTGTGACTGTTCCATCTATTATTGCATGTACATCTTACCTAATGGCAGAATACTATTTCCTGAGCTATTCTTTCCTCATTCATGTATTGGGTATTGTACCACCGACAGCCATCACACTATAACTGAGCAGAGGACACCCACACACGTTCAGACATGTAAAAACCACAGAAGTTAAAAAGGCTTTCCACAGAGGGAACCTTGATACCATCCTTTCTTTAGCATTTCATCTGTTTTATCAATGGTGCTTGAGGAAAACCATGAATTTCCTCATCAAGGTAATTTGTAGCTACTTTAGAGAAGGCGGTTACTATGAAAGGAATAACCATACCTTGTCCTCTGTCAACAATTTCTTAGCGTTTATTACAACAGTGTAATAATACTAACAACCAGCAGATGCCAGCATAAGCATGCAAGCACTAAATAAGTGCCTGGTTCATGCTAAAAGGCAAGGATGGGGCAGATCTCCAAGGTCATCCTGCGGTTACAGTCTCACCAAGAGCCGAAGTGCACTTCTTCTGTTTCAGTGTCATACAGAAAGAAAAGGTCTGATAGTCAAGTCAGATTCAGACGGCACTCTACTAAAGTTAATCTTGGATTTAAAGAGACCACTTCCTGGAGAAAGGGCTGTGTTGCTACAACTGCCTTCTCTGGTCAAAATGGGCTAATTTCTACATGGAACTTTGACTGGAATTTCTAGCCTAGTAGATCTGTTTTTTTTCCTTTGCATACTAAATTGAGGATCCTTAATATCAGATCTTCTATTTGCGACTGCACAGAATATGCCAAAATCACTCCATCATCTCTGCAGAGTAGAGTGGACCTTCCAGATATGTCACATCCTTGGCTGCAGGCATGAAGTTTTGGCAGGAAGAATAAAAGGCCAGGTACTCATGGTGCAAACATACTGCAAGTCTTTCAAGTGCGGATGGTTCTTATCTTCCAAATTTGCCAGTGCTTCTGGACAAGCCTTTGCAACACCATGAACAGCCACAGCCTTCTGAAACTAATTGAATGATGGAAATCACTTCTGACAGATTTCTTCCAAAACAGAAAACTTTGGTCCCAGAGTGTTCAAAAAATCAGCAGGCAAGTCCTCACTTCCAACAGAGGCAGAGTAGGAGGAGTTACTTTGCTCTAGTTCTCCTTCCTCAGCATATATGCAAGGTTCATAGATGGCCCCATTATCTTCCAGAGTGTTTTGGTAATATATTTTCTAAAGAAGAGAAGAAACAATGAAAATTGTCATCGAAGGTCCTACTGCCCTTTTGGAAATCAAAGGAATTCATGGTATGCAAATTAAGCAGGTAAACGTAAGGTTACAGTGAAGAGTAATTAAACTTTCTCTGATAAGGAAAAGTTTTACTGAAACTCTCAGCAGCATAAGCACCAGAGCCTGAACTTCTCCTAGAGTACAAACAAGGCAGAAACGAGCATTTGATCTGTCCTGGCCAGACAGCTACCCAGCAAATCAAACTTTAACCTTGCACAGCAAAAGAAAGCATTTTAGCTCCACTTCTCCATCTTGAAGAACTTGTTACAGGTGAAAGACCCCAGCCTTACAGTAACTGCTGGGCGAGCAGACAGAGGCAGCAAAAAGTCTAGGAGATGAGACATTTTCAACAAGGAAGTCTTGAATATTTCCCCATCAAATATATCCCTTGCTTTCGATTGTAATGTTTCTCAGATGTGGGCTGAGAGGGTAGCTGAAGCCATAGCAGCTTTCCAGCTTTGCAAGCTTTTTTTCCTATTCTTATAACTAACTTGACAAAGGAGGGATTCAACATTCATCTCTTACCTCACCCAGTATTTTGTCCACTGTCTGTGTGATGCGATCAAGGTGTCTTACTCTGAATGTCTCATAACTTGTGGACTGGTCATCCTGGAAGACAGACATAGTATCTCAGGTTTGACCAGCATAAAGTCACCTACTAACATAAATCAAATATATTTCTCCCTGTTTCTCTCATCCACTTCTTTTGTGCTGTCTTCTCCAGTTACATTGCAGCTTTTTCTGTTCAGGGGCTTTCCTCTTCTTACAAGTGCATAGAGTCACTAGCTGTAGGCAATCTCCAGTAATTAAATATGTTCTTTCCTCTACATTTATTGGATTTCTTTCCATTAATGGCACCAAACATGACCAAACTTTCACACAGATGACTCTAGCTCTAACTATGGTCTTAATGATTGTGGAATTGGGTTCTTCCCTACATAAAAAAAAAAAGGCTATTTTACATTTTCTTTGCCTGCTGTAAGATGGAGACTGTTCTTATCTCTTGGTAATCACTGTGTATTTATGAACAGAACACATGGCAGTCATCTACTGATGTAGAGCAGAATTTTCTTCAGGCATTCCTTACAATAAAAAACTCTTAGAGAATTCAGTACAAAAATCTACAGAACAAACCCAAAAGCCTTGAAACCCCCAGAAGTACATCTTATAAAAATACTCCTAAATCCTGTACACACTTTTACAGTATGTTGAGTAGAAGATGTTGACCAGAATGATTTGATAGATATCTGAAGAATGATGGTTCCATCTTACTTATGCCAAGAACTGAATAAACCCTTGTGCATATTAATTCAAGTACTGTGATAAGAATTTTGGAAGAAACTGCTCTTCTAAATATTTAGAACAATAACTAAGGGAAAGGAGAACAGGAAT